GGTTCGTTCCATCTCCAAGTTCTTCAGACGTCTATTCCGTCGCTGCTTTTTGTCGCGTCTCGAAAACATTTTGTCAATCACGTTATTACGAAGGCTCGCAGTGCAGGCTTGAGTTATGCTTTGCTTTTCGTGCCACTGGCACTACCACTACCACTACTCCTGCTGCAGGCGGCTTCCGAGCAAATTGCAGTTGCCACAGAAGCTGGCAATAGCGGGAAATTCTTCAGTCGGTATGTCGGCACTGGCCTGTTTGGCAGCTCGCAGCAATGGCCGCTTTTGCTTCTTCCCATTGCAGCTCCTCTGATGCGGGTCCCTCCATCGGGCAACTGCGGAGCTTGAATTGGAACTATAATATTGATGAGGACGACCCAGTTTTTTGGGGATTGTATCCGGGTTACATTTCAGGGCGGTCTCCTTACCTGGTTGATTTGGACTTGGACGCACTCGTGGACCGTCTAGACATCGACCAGTCAGGGAGCATCGTGCTCGCCAGGCGCGTTGCCAAGAATACGCTCGCCCAGCCTATTGTCCCTCGCCCTTATCCTGGGAGAATGTTCCATGTCCAAGCTTCCAGCCACGAGAGAACGAGCTTTAAGCTTTTGTTCGCTCTATCCCGGCCGTCGTGCAGGTCTTGGCAGATGTCGGAGAAGTGCTCAGCCTTCCTGGAAATGCTTGGGAGCTGCGCGGAAATGCTTGCCAGCTGCAAGCTGCCGATTGGGATGGAGACGGTGACCTGGACCTTCTCGTGTTCAATTCCGACAGACAGGGGGAAGGCATTGTATCTGGAGCAAGCGGGCGCCCCGAATACCTCTAACTGGAGATTCGTGCTCAGGATGGAGGCTGAGAATCCCGTCAGGCGAGCATTGCTTGCAACATGGACCTACGTACATTAAGGCCTCGGATCAGCTTATATGCATCATGCGGTCGATGATGCCTGACCTTACGACATCGGACGATCATGTAGAGACCCGATGGAGCTGATAATGATACGTAGCAGCAGATTTTTCGCTTTACATGCTAGCCTGGTCAGGCTCGGAGGCGTTAAGTCCATAAACCCACAGAGGCTGTAATGCAGTTGCTCAGTAAACTTGTCAATCATGAGCATAAAAACACGCGCACAGCCGATTCCGATTCCCTATCCGATAGTCGTGACGATAGCCGAAGCCATTTTCCTCTGCGGGTCTGTGACGAGCGTGGGGCAGGTTCAAATTATTGATTGGGACCACGAGGGGGACTTCGACCTTCTCTTCGCAGGAGGGCCGTGGTCGGTATCATCCAGTGAGCTTGTGGCGCGAGTGGGCAAAGACAATCCGCTACCGCTACATGGCCTGTCGAGCCCGGCCAAGGTCATGTCAGTTCACGCAGCTGATTGGGACTCAGACGGAGACATCGACCTCTTGCTTTGGGAGTTCGTAGGCTGGAACCCGGGCGCGCGGACGTGCACAAATAATTGGCCTATCACGAAAACTCGGCCAGCGGATCCTTCATGAGGAGGGAACGATTGTTTGAAGACAATGTCGTTAAGGGCGCAACAAGTCTGCAAGCTATACTCTGGGATATGGATAGTCTCATGGATCTCCGTGTAGGGGCTTGGATGCTGAAGCGCAGAGTGCCGGGAACAATAGCCGAGAGACCATCTCAACTTAATCCATTGGCTTCAATCGGATTGAGTGTTCATGGCTTGGCATTTGTAGACTGGGATCGCGACGGCTTGGTGGACGTTTTGGATGGGTGTTCCGGCTTTTCCAAGCTCGTCCGGGCAAGAGTTTGCCTCTTTCAGCTGAGACCTTTCCACAGGCCAGGCCTGTAGAACAGAAGTCTGCACCAACCAGCTCTTAAGTGTTTGCAGTAAGCGGCTTCATTTCTGAACAGACAGGCCTACGCCAATGCATCAAACGGAGTAAGTCAAGTGACCGCATGTTGGTATAGGCCTGCTTGTTGACATCCTGGGTGTGCAATTGCCGCGGGTGATTGGGATGGTGATGGGTGCGCCGACCTAGTGGGACCCTGAGATAGTATCAGCGGTTGGATGCGAACTCGATCAGTTCACTTGCAACGACTATTGAAGATGACAACCCGTTCAAGCATGTCAACGAAACAGGCGTGAGGCAGCTCCAGATGGCAGATTGGAACGGGGATGGGAGGACAGACCTGCTGCTGCTTCGTGGGGGGGTGGATATTTTGCTTGAGGTAGTACGGTGGGAGCAGCTTCAAAGTGGTGAACTTGTCCGTCGGGAGGCTATTGCGTCAGCGACGTATCGTCCTTCGGGCTGCCAGTTCCAGCGGCCGAAATCCTGGAACTCCGACAGTGCACAAGCTTTCAGCGTGGTTGACTACAACGGAGATGGTCGCCTGGACTTCGTAGGAAAGCGGACCATGCATGATGCGCGAGCCGGTGACACTGGCGTGCGAGCGCACGCTAGCAGGCGCGTTGGGGAAGAGGACGATGTTGTTTTCCTACCCGGGCTTCAGATACCCGAATTTCATTCATGCCACTCCCCAGGCTGCTCAAGACTGGAATTTCGTCTTGGATTCTGACATGTGGACGCAGAATTTTTTGTACTAGAGAAGGCGCTTGTTCTGGAGGGGGTGCACGCACAGCTCATGGTCCCACCATGGTTCAGCGGACTGCTCTCAGTGCGCTCCAGGATATTACACATATTCCAGGAACGTTGGCTCTGGAATCGACTGCCTTCGCTGTGCAGGTGATGAACGAATCTGCGCAGCTCGTGGCTTTTGCAATGACGATCAAGCAGAGAGAGAGAAAGCACGAGATGCTGGTTCCGACGCCACGGCAGCCCTGAAGCAGGGCACTGGATCCTGCGCTTGCAGCGACGCTCAGTTTGGAGGCACAGTCGCCGCAGGCAGGACCACTTGCATACTGGGTTCCTGCCCTGATGGCATGCAGCTGATGGCAACCTGAAAGTGACGACGCGGTGGTGCACAGTTGCGAGGCTTGCCCCAACGGAACAGCATCCGCGAATGGCGATCCCTGCCAGCCGTGAGCTTTGTTGTGCTTCTGGACAACAAAGCAGTCCGCGCTTGCCGTGCGAGGCTGGCCGCTTCGTTTCTTCATTTGCAGCCGAGGCCTGTTTGCCGTGTCTGCCTGGATCGTTTTCGGATTCTGGCCAACCTTCATGCACTGCCTGTTCGGTGGGCTTCGTTGCTGGGCCTGCATGCAAGTCATGGGAAGCTTTGCGTTTCGCAATCACGGGAGCTGAATGTTCCCCCTGCCCTGCTGGGACGACGTCTTATGAAGCCCAGACTTCCTGCATTGCCTACATGCCCGGCTTCGTTTCGCTACCCAATGCTACAAAGTGCACTCAGTGCGAGGCTGGATATTTCAGAGATGGGACCAAGACAGAGTGTGCAGCTTGCTTGCCAGGTTCTTCTTCTGATGCAGGACGGGTAAAATGCACAGCCTGTCCGGCAGGTTTTGTCGCTGGATCGGCTAGTAGAGAGCGCAAGCCATGCGAAGTGGGGCGGTTTGCATCTGCCTCTCATGCAGCGTGTCTTCCTTGTGTGCCGGGCACCTTCTCGAAGGCAGGACAGTCCGAGTGCATCGCTTGTTCGGCGGGCTTCGTTGCTGGGCCTGAAAGGCAGCCACTGCCATCGTTGCACTCACTTGCTTGTCGTCATGACTTCAGATAGGTCTCAGCAGGACTGCCAAGCAGATCTGAATTCGCTTGTCTTCCTCTTGCTGTTCATGGCCAGCGTGTCTCTTTGTGTTTACCTTGGCCTGAAGAGCTTGCCCTTTCGTGCCGTGGCCATATCTGATGTATCCACAAACAAAGGCGGCCCGGTCGTCCTCACAACGCTCCATCCACAGAGTGCTGCGCTGTGTAAGGGTGCGAACCTGGGCACCTTCACTCCCTGAACTTCTGGCTGCATGCGGGGTTCCTGGGTCTGCCCTTCTCCCTTTCGCTCCTGCCGGTGTCGGCCCTTGCAGTCTGGTCGGCTTCGTGAGCCGGGCCCTCAGGTGCCAGAGCCCAGCCCAGGTCGTGTCTGACTTATGCTTCCGCGTCATAAGGGGGTGGGCAGCTCGCCCAAGGTCCAGGCCACGATGGAGGGGATTGTCTCGATGTCTGCTGTGCTGATCTTCCTGGGCTTGCGGCTACACAAGCAGCTGGCATCCCGCACTCCCATTGCACAGGCCGGAAGGGGTTGCGGTTGTACGGCCACTGTAGGGATTGAGGAGTATCCATCATAGCACGCCCGGTCATGCATAAAGGCAGCCAGTGTGCTCGTATGTGGCGCGTCTTGATGCCAATGCAGTGAATCATGCTCCAAGATCTGAGGAACCGTAATTTCTTCGGATCTCATATGCAACCGTGCGTAATGATCCTTTGGGACTGCTGCCACAACCTTGGTCTGCGAGGCTTGAAACAGTGGTAAAATAAGGGGAGACGAATGGACTTAGAACTGTTGACAGTCGGAAGCCCACGCGACACGAGTGTACCAGGAGTTTCGAGGTTGACCGTAGAGTGTCAGATCGATTTTAGGACCAGCAGAGCCCTTGTTTGTCTACTCGGTGGCACTACTGGCCACATCAGGGTCGGTCATCCACCATCAGGCTTCAATACATGGGGTGCTGTTTCCGCACTGGGCTTACTTGTTTTGTACGATGGACCACCCAGGCTCGCAGACCCAGAAACATGCGGCGTGCCTGAAGCCACGACGTCCATGTTCTAGTCGAGACTCCAACATCTCTTGCTTTATTAAGGAAAACTCTTTCAATTAGGGTAGGGCCGGGATCTCCACCATACTCAGGTTCAGGCACTTGACCCTGGCCCTGTCAGGTGTGTCGAGCGCTTGCTCGAGTCCTACGACTTTTTCAACACCCTCATGCAGGACTGCATGCTGTGCTGGACTTGGCAGGTTAGATCAAGTCTATGGGCAAGGGCCAGCGCTTGGAGGGTAGGCGGATCTGTGGATCCTACCACAACTCAGCTTCAGTTGCATGTCGACTCGCAGTCATGCACGGCCCGGATTCCGTGCAGGACCGCTCGATGCAGTGCGTCTGCTAACTTGGTGATTCCGCTCACAGAACCCTTCAAGCTGTCCTATGCCGAGCTAGCAGGGCCAAGCGAGACCGCCAGGTTCATAAGCCACTACTCGGGGATGGGCCTTCGGCACTTCGTAGAAGCCGTAGCCACTCCAGGACAAAGGAAGCATCTGAGACGGTTGCAGGCTATTGGATCTGCACGCTTAGCAACAACCAGTGGAAGGTGGTAGAGGAACTGGGAAGTGGCGACTGGACTGAATCCTCTTTCTTCAAGGCCTTGAGAGCTCCCAGCTGCAGAGGCACCGCACGATCATGGTGCTTGTTTGAGGTGCTCCAGACAAGCATCCGGACTATGGAAGACAGCAACTTCCTGGGCTTCCGCCTGTGCACATCCACAGGCGTCCTGAATGAAGGCGGTGTTGGCACTGACCTTTGCATGACCATTGCCGGCAAGCTGGCGTCGCTGAACTTGCGCAACGCTCAGGCCAGGACAAGGTGTTAGCTAATGTCTAACACTTTTCGAAGTAAGCCGAGCCGCTGAAGTTCAGCCGCTAAGGGACGATGAGAACGTAGTCAACGCCGTCACCTGCCCTTGATCCTTCGTCTCGTCCGGAACCTAAACCCGCTGCCTTTCTTCAGGCTTCAAATCCAAATGACTTGCAGATGATCCAATCCTTGGTGCATGCCATGCCGGGGGGTTACGATGCCATGAACGCCTTTGCAGCTCTTTTGTAAAGGAAGTCTGTGTCAATTTCAACGATTCTATCCAAGAACGGCTACATCAGCAACAGTATTCAAAAAAGGATTATTGCAAGCTCTGCGCGCGTTTTTCCTAATTGAGGAGCCAGCAGTTCAGGTGCGTGTCTCCATCCGCGAGGCCCTCCTCTCCGTCAAGACCCGCTTCTTGGAGCTTCTTGTGAGGTCGCCTGGGTGTGTGGTTCTTTCAGGAGTACCGAGAAACCTACGCAGCAGATCCCGATCCAGCCTACAACCTTTGTGTCAAGCGGCGGCCTGTACCACACCCTAACCCCCCAGGTACCTGCTATACAGGGCCCTAGGGGCTCTAGCATGCTATAAAGTAGGTACCTGGGGGGTTTAGGGACAAGGCATGCTCCCCAACCTGAGCCCCCGCATGACTACGCTCAAAGCCTACGCGCTTTCTACTCAAACTATCTGCGACCTGAGGGCCTCTGGTACTAGCATACTTTGTAATATTATACTGTGCTACACTATAACATACTGTACTATACTATACTATACTATACTATACTATACTATACTATACTATACTGTACCATACTATACTATACTATACTATATTAAATCATATGATAAAGTATATCATATTCAAATTTGTTGTAATGCATTATCTGATATGATATTACATTATGTTACATGATCTTATGTTATATTGCATTATATTACATGTTCGTATAGGGTCTGATATTATATTATATTGTATTATATTATATTATACTATATTAATGTTACGTTATATTACATTTTATCCCACGATCGTACATTTTATGATGTATTAGTATGCAAGTCTTTGTAAGTTGAGGTTTGGAATTTTACTGGAAACCCGAGCGCGAAAACAGCTGGGAATTCAGGCTGCGAGAAGGACTTCAAGCACATGCTGGAACGCTTGTAGACTTCTGGACGTGAGGGCCTTCATAGTCCGTCTCAATTAGCTTTCGTTGTCCATGGCTTGCTTCGAGTAGTTATAATGTACATGATTGGACAGCACATGAACCTGCTTAAATCTCAGGTGCAATAGGCTTCCGAGGTTTTTGCAAGCGGACTTATCTTGTGCGACTGAATTCCTCACGAAGGCGTTGGAAACTCGGCCCAGTCGAACAGAACCCTCCAAGCAATGCAGTCATCTCCCGTCCGTGACGACAAGGTCTCTCTCTTTCGCAATCCCGTAGAGACTTTGCCGTGCATTGCATGCCTGCTGCCTGCTCTCAGGGACCGCTTCAGAGGTAAATAGAATCATTGTATAATATGCAAGATCACACGACACGCAAGACATGGTGCTGCCAGCTTGAGTGACAAGACGACAACACAAAGATGCGTAGTGCGACCCTTGGAATATTGGCACCGGCCATAAGATTTGCAAGAGCCATGATTAACCAGCATGTTTAATCTCAGCAGACCGTTTAAAGTACGTCCGTACTCACGTGGCCTGTTCGGTGCGCCATGTCGCAGACGTGGAGCCGGTTTCTGGTGTTGGCGTTGTTGATAGTCCTGCCTGCGGGACAGCTTCCCCTCCCTCGAACAAGTGGATGTGGTGCGCCTTCTCCAGGGGCAGCCACAGCACCGCTGCAGGATGCGGTCGAGGGCATTGCAGGGCTCATGCAGCGATTTGAGCAGATGCAGCCGCGAATAGCAGCACTGCCACCAGCTGAACTGCAACAAATTGAAGAGCCGGCGCAGAGATTGCACGAGCGCTTCGAGCAAATGCAGCAAAAGCTCATGGCCAGAAGTGGAGGGCCAGACCTTGAAGAAGATGCTCGGTCTTACGTTTGCTCCATTCCATCTCGCACTAGTGACCATGAGATATCTCAGGAAGCTATCGTGTTTCACAGGGACTTGGCAGTCTTTGTCGACCAGGTTTCATCCAGGCACCTTACTGAAAGTTGCCTCAGCGTCAAAGGATGCCATGCTGCGCTACTGGAACTTGTCGATTCCGCCTGAAGTTCGTGGAAGGCTGGGCATTGGTACCGGAAGCCCAAAGCCTGGACAGCTGGGCTCCCTGGGCCTGGGTGCCAGCACAGGCCCGGTAGGAGGCGGCGCGCAGCTTACTCATGAACAGGAATGCAATGGCATGTACATGATTTAGCGAGTTGGTTGAGTAATCTCTTCCGAGTACGCTGAGGATTTGCGCCCGTATCTTTGGGGAGCTTGCCGGGGCCGGATCGTGGCTCTGCGGGACTCGGAGGCGCGCAGTGTCGGGTATTGCTTGAAAGGGTCTTGGAATCCTCCCACGCTGCCTATGTACGGATGCTCCGCCTGTGGCTTCAGTGGGGAGAGTTGGGGTGTCAATAAAGGCTGTGCATGTGGTCCAGCTCGGTTCAGTGGGTAACTTGGAGTGTCAAGGTCAGTCCCAAAGTGTGACTGCTCTGAACCCGGGTTCTGCCAGGCGCTGCTTCAGAGTCGACAGAGAGGAGGCTGCAAGCTGCCATGCAGGCAGGGGCCAGACTCGAACCCCCTTTAGCCAGCGGTAATTTGCGGCCTCGTCCTTTCCCTTCCTCTCTTTACTGCTAAGTAAATGCTCCCGGAAAGACGGCTGCACACAGAAAGCGCTATGCAATGCACATGGCAAAAACAGGAACTCACCTTCGCAAGGTGCTGGAGTGTTCGTGAGGGACTAGGCAAGGAAATGCGCGCGCCGACGACGGAATCCCCTCACACGATGCAGAAGAGTGCTGCAGAATTCCCCAACCGGTCCTGAAGTGCGCATTGGCTGGGATCGGATTTCAGGATGTTCTGTGGCACCGGCTCGTTGTTTTTTTGCAGAGCCGCTGGGCCTAGACGAACTATGTTTTGTGGTCCTGCATGGCGGTGGTATTGGTGCGTGCCACCCAATCTTGACATATTTGTCGGGAAACGATGCAGGACAGAGACATGATGTCCTGTTGCACGTCGTGCTCTGCTGTTTACAGCACAAGTAGCACGCTGATACTGACAGACACAATTATGTCGCGAAGTACAAAGGCAGAAAGTTGATCATGCCGTCGAGATGTTTCAGTCTGCAGAGGGCCGCCGTGGCATTCACACTCTTGCCCTCTGTGATTTGCGTGTTCCCATTGAAATCAAAACCATCTTCAGTGGAGATCCAACTTTGCAGACAACTCATTCGCGGCAGGGTTGTTTCTACTTTGTTATCCCTCAGTCCTCAGTCATGTCATGCCATGTCATTACGGACGTGTGGACATGTTTTGCATGGTTTTGCCAGGCCGAGTTTGTTCCCTGTGGCTCTTGGCCCTGGCAGGCGATCCAGTCAGGCATGCAGCGATTCGAGGCGTTGCACCCCAAGCTGCCGAATTTGCCGCCACAGGCGAGGCGTGCACCATGCATCGGTACAGAGTGCTGTGATGTGCGGTGAGGTCATGCAGTTTGACAGCTGCGTTTCTTCCACTGTCTGCTTGGGTCAGGCCTTCAACACCTTGGCCAACCAGGCTCAGCAACTTCACGAGGAGTTCTTAACATTGCAGAGGAAAGGTATCCAGCTTGCCGGAGATGGTCGACAACCCATGCTGGAGGCGCTGCATGGCAGACCTTGGGATGTAGTTTGCGATCCCGCAGCCCCTATCGATACAGGCAGATGCGGCACCGTATGCCGATCAGCTGGAGTCCTTCGTAGCCAGGCCTTGCTTCAGCATGTGTTGCTGCCACCGGTCCGCGGTGTTGCGCTGATGTGACAGGCAAATCAACCTTGTGAATGAAGCCGAGCAGCAGGTGCAGCAGCTAGGTGGCGCGGGAGGCGCGGGAGTCAGGATGGGTGTCGGGGGCACTGACGGCAAGGACCCGAAATTGACACTCGCATGATTTCGTGATCTCTAAATTTCGAAAATGTCCCCAAGGCTACCAGGGCATGCTGGGAACCCGACTGCCCAGCGTGCAAAGCACAATGCCGGGGACATCAATGCCACAGATGCAGGCCATCAAGTTATTGTCATGCGCCTGAGAAAACCGCCTTTGCAAGTGCAGGCTTCACCGGCTTCCGCTCCTGGCCAGGCCCTGGTACTTTCAGTTCTCTGTGAAGGACAGCAATGTTAGCGTAAACACGCGTCAGGTGACACCCACCACGGATGCCAAATTGTCTGCCGTGATCGACAAGGTCATTCGGTTGATGCAGGCCAGCGTATAAGATAAGCCCAGCGCTGCGTGGCACAGCTGTCCACCGCAGCAGAGACTTCGAGCTACCTTCGCTCATATTTCTTGCAGGAATTTCAAGGCATCCTGCCACAGCTGTCCCGAGTGTCTCAACAGGCGGCTCGAGACGGGTTTACACAGCTGACGGACATGGCTTTCGCACGGATCGCTATTCAAGTTTTGAGATTTGGCCTCACAGGCAATTGCCCCTCTTGCAAACGTGGGCACGTCGCAGCAAACTCAGTTGGTTCATGAGCTCGGTAGCTGTGGGCCAGCGGTGCTTGAACGGCGCAGCTTGGCTCCAACTTCGCTGAAGCCAGCAGCAAAGTTGACAAAGACACTGCGACATGAGGTTTCAAATGGCCTCAACCCATCAACTCGAGAACTTCAGCTCATGTCTTTTGGCACCCAGGGCTTGTCGGAATTCCACTATAAGCCATGGCTGTTGGCTCTGCCAACTTGGAGTGGAAATCCCTGGGGTTTGGCGTGCAGCCCACAAACGGGTACAGCTGCGGCTTGGCTGCATGACCGAAATGTATCGCCATGCGCAGCCCATCACAGCCCACATGAGCAACAGCTGCCATGCGGTGCAAGAAACTGCTCGGGTTTGGACATGCTCGAAGCTGCTGCTACGCACTTTCACCAGAAGTTGCGGACGTAAGGGCTGCCATTTCCCCACGCCCACTCACAAATTCACGGAGCAGTGTGTAAGAAGGACATGTGTTTCTTGGGTACACAGTGCCACCAAGTTTCACAAGTGTGCTAGCGAAGGAGACCGACAGGTCCTCAGGACAGGGACGTCTAAGGAGAGGAGTGGGGGCTCTCACATTCGGGTTTGCTGTTATTGAATGCCGCCGAAAGCCACAAGGAGCCTTGAAAACGGGACAAAGCTGGACGGCCTTGAATTACAGAGCAATGATGCGCAACGTGCCGGAGCGGTCAGGCGACCCTGCGTCAAACACCGTCACGACAAAGGCTTACAAGGGCAGTTCCCCTTGGCGCTTGTATTTGCTGCTCCTCTGTTCAATGCATTGGGTTTACGTAGCTCTTCGTCTTCGGGTCTTTGGAGATCTGCGTCCTTGTTCACATGGCAAGGCTGTGTTTGGAAAGATGGCTCCTGGGGTGAACTGAGCCTGATCAAGGACTTGGACGCTGAGACTGTGAAGTGTGAGTTTTGATGTTGTTTCACAAGCCAGTGCAGATTCCACGGTATCTTGAAGGAGCCATTCTTGCGGCTGCATGTCAACTCCGTCGCCTTACACTATGGCCAGGCACGACCACAGACAAGCTCAGGAAGCAAAACCTAAAGGCTACGTCACAGCAAGTTAGGTCTTGAGGTGCAGCCGCTCTGACTGACTGATCCTGACCCTGCAGACGGTCTGGGAGGGCATGAAGGCCTTCCATTGCAAGGATGGATCCGTGCGGGTATTCAACGATGTAGCGATTCTTGATCGAAGCTAGCGCGCAAGCAAATCATGCCGAAACCTCAGTCGGCTGGCAGCTGAGGAATCATGAGCGCTTGTCTCGCGGTGCCAAGAGGACGGGTATGACCGATGTTCCCTGACTTCCTAACACGTGGCCGGCAGCAGTAGTCCAAAGAATTGATGCTGCAAGGGATACTGCTGCAGGCTTTCTTGCAGAACGCAAAAACTTGAGCACTAAAACCTTTTTTGCTGGCTACTTCCATGTTTTTGACATTCACCCCGACTCCCTTCCCTTGGTTGGTTATCCTTCCCGTTCTGTTTGTTCTCTCAGCCCTTCTACGTTGATCGTAGCGTGATGTCACGGGCCTTCATTGTCACCCCTTCCTGGATGAGACCTTGCTTCAGAATGGAAAGATTTCCTCGACAACGGTTGCGGTGGGAGATTTCCTCGCGAAGGTCCACAACTAGAGAGTCACTGTTGCCACTTCCAGCCTTGGCAGGAGTTTGAACATGTGACCCCTCTCGAGGAAGCCCCAAGCATTCACGAGGAGTAAAAGGCAGGAATTCAATTAAGGTACATCTCCCGTTTTTCCACAAGGACTCCCCTCAAGACAGGTTAAGTACACAACGCACTCCCCAGTCCTGATTTCTGCATGGTGTGTGACACGAAAGTTTGCAAAGATTGGTGCAGTCTAGACTAGCTTTACTGAGACCGCCCGCAGGTCTCAGTCCCCAACCGTTGACTGCCATGTATAGTCGGACAATGACAACCGCATCAGGCATACCAATATATACCAATCTCACAAGACAAGCGGAATTGCCCTCCGGTCTCATCTTCTGAATTCTAGCATATTCTAGCTAACCCCTTCTCTCGTCATCCCCTCCGACCCCTCTTAAGGCTTCAGTGCGTAGGCGTAACCCTCGCCCTGTCCACGCAATCCCCGCACATTTGCGATCTTCCCTGTAAATAAGGCACAACATGAGACGAGAAATGCAGAGTGTTTGGAAGTGTAAGGTCGGGCGTCAAGACATGCGCATTGTAGCAGCACATGATCTCCTTACTCGGCGGACTGTCCTTCAGGATGCTGATTCCAGAACTGTCGCTGGAAAAGTTTCGGGAAGCTGTGGATTTTTGCGTCCGCAACAATGTTCCGTTCCTTCCTCCGTATGGTGCTTCACTCAGAGCATCCCCAATCACAATGTGCGGGAGACCTTGATTGCCACGAACCTGCGAAGGTGTATGGGTGCAACAATGACTTAGTGTTACTGAGGCACAGGCGGCGCCCTCTACTTGCGCCCCATTCTTTTGGGCACAGGGCCGGCGTGGCTTGCCTTGAGACCTGGTTAACGGGCAACAAAAGCGGCGCACGCGGTTTGCATAGCGTGGTCCAGTGGTGTCCTAGGCTGGGCTTGGCTCCGGCCAAGGAGCCACCCGGCACAAGGGAACTCAAGAATCATCAAGAATCAGTCAGTGCCCATCGCTGCGGCATTTTTTCCTTCGTTCAGAGGTATGCATTTCTCGTGATCTGCAGCCCGGTGATGAACTACTTTGCATCCGCCGGCCCTGAGATCCTCGAGAAAGCTCTTCGCCAAATTTGCAACGAGAGAACATGAGAGCGGAGCTTCTGCTTGCCCCGTCCGATCCGCCAGGGCGTGGCTGGCAAGGCCTCGGCCCTGGGGGGCTGCCTTGGAGGATGCTTCAGGAATGTTCAGGATGATGAGAGGGAGGGGCGTTTTGGTTCCTTCTTTCGAGAGGGGTGTTGCTCCGCTCCAGGTGGTTTTGAACTACGACCGGTCGGCTGCACGGGGAATGGGCAGCATCAAGTGCTCTGGGAATTACGGGGCTGACCTGTGGCCTTCGGCCGAGCACAAGGCCTAATAAGCTGTCAGGATGTTGAGAGGTCGATAGTGCAAGCCTGCTGCAGGCTGAAGGCTTCATGGTCGGTCTTTACCTGGATCCGACCGAGCAGCGCCACTCGGCTGAGCTTCAGGCACTTGCAGCAACTGCAAAGCTCGGATGATGATTCCGCTCTCCTTGCATGTGTGGAAAAAGCTCAGGATACATCGAGGAATTCAACGCACTTGCTCCAGTTGCCTTAGGAAGTTTCATATCGTCACTCCCCGATCGAAGACGGGGCTTGAGTCTTCTGAGGTCACAAACTTTGCCACCATAACGAAGGATGGCAAATACATCACACCCGAGCGAGCATCCAAGAGCGCAGTTGGCATGTTGCTGCTAGCACGACGTACCATAGTAACCGTAGTAGTAGCGGCGTAGCAATCGTCGTGGTTGCAGTAAGCAGTGGTAGCGGTAGCGCAGTGGTAGTGGCGGTGGCGATGGGGGTGGCGGTGGCGGTGGCGGTGGCGGTGGCGGTGGCGGTGGCGGTGGCGGTGGTGGTGGTGGTGGTGGGGTGG